AAATTTTAACGATTTATCTTTTGGTAATTTGCGTAAAAATAGCTAAAAGTAATAAATTCTTCTTAATAAATTCAAAGAGTTAAAAAGTTTTTGCAGGTTAATAAAAAATAGCGCTTGTTACTTAAATTGTTAACGATTCCATTAAGCATAATCATTTATTTGAATTGCACTATTCATTCTTACTAACATTTCGACTTTACGTGTAAAAATAAAAAAAAATCGACTTTTCGTTAGTTTGCGGAAAATATTTAAAAAAAAAGTGTAATTTTTGAATAATTCTGTTATCAGAATTATAAGTCAATCGAGGAAGCCATCATTAAAAATATTGTGCAATATTCTACATAATTGAGAGAAAGGCGTATTGTGATACCAAGAATTCACTAAACATTCGCAAATATGCATATGCGATGGCAATACGTGCTGTCTTAATCGTAGACTTAATCAGAGACGAATCCTCGTATCGGTCGGTTGCTTATCGGTTGACGAGATTTAAATTGCAGTATTTTATGCGCGGATTTATATATATACGATTCTTCGTTCGATTTTTTTTTGCCGTGTCATGCCGAAATTCGAAATAACCGATTAAAGTAACGTAAGAACCGCCTTACTCGAGTTTTCGTATTTAACTGTCACCAGTATTTAACTGTCTTACTGCAGAGAAATAATCTTCTTGCAGGTATTTGGCCGATAATGTAATTCAACATCAATATTTATATGTATTCTTGATACAAAATTACGCGTCTTCCACATTCTGTCGATGCTTACAAGCTGCTCTCCAGGAATTACATTATTTTTCTTCCATTACTTCATTGTGTAGTTTTTTTTCAAATATTCATTCTTTTTGATGGTTTGATATTATTCCTTTTGTTATCTTTTAATATTTAAATATTTTATGACATTTGTATTTGAAGGCTTGTAAAAAACGACGATCACTCTGAAAGAGTAATATGAGATGTATTAAAGAAAAATAAATCCTCTCAATGTTGCATGATTTCACGTTATCATGTTGTATACATTAGATGCCGCAATAACGTTCGAGAAAACAAGATGTAGAATTTCGATGTTTTTCAATATAAGCAAAGTCATTCTCATCTCTGACAAGAAATTTTCAATTTACATCACTTTTTTGGAACAGCTGATCTATTTACATTTACATAAAAAAAATTAACCCAGCTGATTTTCTTGTTAATGTTTTCGACCGAATATAACAATTTTCCAAATAATTGTTCGATTATTTTTTACAATATACTGTGTAACGCATTTATATGAAAGAAGTGGAGCGCAATGAAAAACATGAAGTACATTCAGCCCATATAATGCTACACGCGTTTGTCTTTATCTTCTCTGCTCGAAATGAAACAAGCATACAGACACATATATTCACTTTTTAAAGACGGAAAGAGAAAGAAACGGAAGAGAGGGCGAAAGAAAAAAAAAGCGTACGAAGTGTATTTAGAAAGAATGGTCTCATTGTTAGCGGGATTCATATGTGGTCAAAAAAAAAAAAAAAAAAAAAAGAGCGCGCGCAAGCGCGAGCTAAACCAGAAAAGTGATGCAACGCCTCTAATTTACAATGCAGTTATCCATACATTTTACAACTCGTTAATTGCGTTATCGACATACCGATAAATTAACGATCACGAGAGAGTCAGTCGCGAACGTAATGCATTTATCAAAGCGGTTGTATCCATCCTACCGAACGTAGCCAATTGTGTTCCGTTATTGCTCGTTAATTATGAATAAAAATCACTTAATTTGTAATTTCTAAAAACTGTACAGCTGCGATTTTTTGTGTCATAAAATCCACATGAAGTCTGCGTGTCCCCCGTTCAATTACATAAGCGAGTAAATAAGTAATTTTGTGCGTATAACTACATAGTTATTATCTCAAGAGTTTTGATACAAGATATAATGTTTTTAATTGATTTTTTTTTTTGCTTGCCGGGGTGTTCTAAGATTATGTGTATGTTTCGATGTACAGATGTAATAATCGGAAATTCGGCCATTTCTTATCAGGCCTTTTTGATTTAATTACAACATTTTTCTCAGTGTAGACGATAAAAAACAATTTACTTTAGTGGGTAGGTCCAATGCGGTATCGAAAGTTTTAAAGAGTTTTAAAAAATGACGCGTACACAATTTAGATAACAAAATATCGTATCCTTTACACGACTGTGACACAAAAGTTTGAGATAAGATTTTGCATTGTCAATATATTATACTCGTATATTTAATACCGAAAATTAACTTGCATTGAATGACTTTTCAAAGTTTTTTTGCTAAAGCCATCATTCAACGCAAGTTACTGAAGGGAAGAGTCATTTCTGTTTCCAGTATTTATTTGTCTAGCAGAGAGACAGTCGCGATTGAGTTAGTATTTGCGTATAAAGAATTATTAATTTTCCTTATCTGATATGCACGATCTCTCTGCTTGACGAAAATGAATATTGGTAGCACGAAGTTCTGGGAACTAAACACGAATTACGAATAGAGATGTGATAAGATAGGACACACCGGTAATTTCGGGACACCCTTTACATCGCTGTACAATACCCACTCATTATGGTGCGCGCGATTATCTATTATCTTTAGGCACACACACAAAACACTTTGTTAGCAGCCGATTCCCCGGTTTATTATAACGCTGCCCTGGCGTGTGTGTCGCCATAAAGGAATTTTATTGATTCGCGGGAAACGAACCGAAAAGGCATGCACAAAGGGCGAAGGGAGGCTCGCGACGTCGCGCGCGCGCGCGCTTGCGCGATGATAAACTGCGGCGCGGTCACAACGAGTGTGAGAAAAAAAAAAGAGACGATCTCAAGGAATCGCACGCTGCATTACGCCGCCGGGAGTACTTCAAGGCATTATTATTTCGAGTCGCTCTTGTGAGAGGCCCCACGTATATTTATAGCGGCCCTCGGTAAATTCAATTTCGATAAAGGAAGAGAGAATAATAATTGTGTGAAGCCTCGCGCGAAAGAGAAGGTTCGCGGATAACGCGAAAGTCCAGAAGGCGCTCCGTTTGAAGAAACCGTTAAGCTCGATATTAAGCTGAAGCTTAATGTCGAGTGAATTAAAATGTGCTTTAGACGTCCCGCGAGACTTTAACCATTTATTTTTCTTTCTCTATCTTTCTCCGAGGGGTCCGTTACATTAGTTATCATTTTATACATCGTACTGTCGTATGAAATGTAGCGTTAACTTAATGGGTGTAGAATGTCTGTGCGATAATCAAAAGATTGAAATGGAAACAATAATGGATTACGCACCGTGCTGGATGTTTAATGTTAACATTTATATAACAAATATTTCGAAATACATAAAACATTTCGATTTCCATCGGGCCATTTGTAGTGTTAGATGTCAGTTGAAAAACGGTAGATATAAATATTAAGTCGGTTGAAATGTATTTCTTGCACGGAAAGAATGATTTTGCTGGAGAAAAAAAAAAATCGAAAAAGTTAAATATACAAGATTTGAAAATAATTTAATTTGTTGAACTGTCAAAATTATTATGTAGACGCTCAAACATAGTGAGTGTAATGCTGTTAGAATTTGTCAATGTTCTATCACTTAGTTTTAGAGTTTTACAGAATGTTTGCTTGATGATTCAAACATACATATTTCAAACAAAATTTTAGATCTGTGTCTAAATTGTTAGATATTTCAGCAAAATCATTCTTTCCGTGTAAGAGAACTGTTTTTAGACCTTTAGAAACGCAGCGTTCAACCGAGCGAATTATTTGAATTGATCTGCGAAAAGTTCAACAATTAAATTTTTCGACAGTGTTTCGCGAACGTCGAATCGATTTCCTTTCATTAATGCAAGCCATTTCGCACATTTCGTAAAGATTTTATTACCAATTCCAAGTTTACTGAGGATTATAGGTCCGTTTTTTCTTTTGTGGCCGAACTAGTATTTTGTTTGACATTTCTGAAACTTAAAATGAGATAGGTCTGACATTTATCGAGAGCAAGAGAATTCTAGCGCAGTTTCCAGTGCAGGAACAGAAAACGGACTATCTCTGTATTGAGTTTCCAGGTAATTCGATTTCGAGATAATAAATGAGCTACGAAAATACGACGTAAGCAGAAGGAATGTGTCAGTGGCGACGGACGTATCATACGCAATGAAGAGACAGTGTACGCACAGAGCGGATGAGGGCAATAGAATTGAGGGGGGTAAGGGCGCGGGGGAGTTGAAGAATCGCACGCGTGGCTTTCGTCCACGTGCAGTAAATTAGTTAAGCGCGAGCTCGATTATTTGAAGACGAGCCATCTTTGCGACGGCGACAGAAAATTTGCCGAGAAATATCTCCGGCAAACGATAGGGGGTATACGAGCTACGAATATTATGATATTTGAAATTGACATATTTGTTTTCTTCCTCGCTTTGACGATTACTCGATAATGATAACTGCAGCTGCGGAGATGCCGTTACAGTTACGATTATTGATGTTACGATGTTATCGATGTTATATGTAAGAAAGGCCGGTATATTTATTGAATATTTTTTTCGAGACGAGACTTTTAATTTACTTTCGAATTATATTTCCTTGCAAGTATTTTTAGTGAAATTCAAGCTGTTTAT